TCTATCAATAAACGATGCTAAAAATCTTTCTAAAAAATTAAATCCAATAATAGCAAAATTTAACGAAAGTAATGATTTATTTTATCAAGAATATTATGGACTGTTAAGCGAAAATTTACTAGTTTCACGCTTCAGCAATTTAAGTTTAAGTAATACACTACTCACTGAAACGTCTTTTTTTATATTAAACTATCTTACTGGTGTAAAACCGAATTTTGTTGAAACTGTAGATACAACTCAAGAAATTACTGATATAGAGAAAAAGAGTTCACATTATCTTGTTGGATATATTTTTCAAAGGTTTTATACTAAATTTGAAAGTAGTAAAAATTCATCTATGTATAGCCATAAGTGTGTTTCAATTTTGCTGCGCTGCAGAGTTATGGAAGATAGTACTCAGACTCTTGTAAATATTAGAGATAGAGGAGGTTTATGGAAAGTGAGCAATATAATTCAAGATCTATTTCTGACATGCAAGAACATTTTTCGCAGAAAAACAACACAAATTTTTTCAAAGCTAGATCCTGAAGATCTGGTTAGGTCCATGTCAACAAATTATATTGTACTTTCTCCTTATAAACAAGTTTCCAATGATCCAGAATCAACTAAAGTTAGTAAGAATTTGCTAGAGCACTTACATTGTTTGTAAGAGTTCGTTCATTTTCTTATGCCAGAGACATTATTGAAAAACATAGAATGAAAAAGAAAAGTTGCAAGACTCGATCATTGCGATACGAAATTTAAAAATCAAGTAAAAGAAATTGACATTTATTAGTTTGTTGAACATAAAAGGCTATTTTCATAGCCACATATCTTTTTAACATATTAATGGCATAGCAACTACTGTAAACATAGCAACTCCTGTAAACATAGCAACTACTTGAACTCTATTTAATAATATGATTAAGATTTTTTATTTGATAAAATAGTCTTTGATTAAAAATTGTTTTTCTTATTTTTATTTAAGTGAAAATTATTTTTAGTTCATGAAAAGCTATTTGAATCCCATTTTCAAACTTCAAATTTAAAAAAACTTCTATTGTTTATGTTTATAAAAACTTTGTTTTAAAGATAATTTTTTTATATTAAGTTTAAACTTGATCATTGTTTTAAAATTAACAAAAAATTAGTCAAAAATATTTGCATTTCTTAACCTAAACAGCAGATATTTGATTTAAGTTAATATTAGACCTCTCCTGCATGTTTTTGTTATAATTTTATTGTTAATTTCATTAAACTCCTTAGTTTGTTTAGAACCTCGAGTACCCACTTTTCACTTTCACCCCATATCATATAATTCAAAACTGAATTAAATAGATTAAATTTGAATTTAAAAATTTTAATTTAAAGATCTTCCTGTTTTACTGCCTTGATTGGTTCCCTCTGAGACTTAAACAAAAACCTTTTCTCTTTTCATAAGTACAGATTTTTCACAAAATCTACTCACCAACATAAGCTTTAAAATATTAAAATAAAAAAAAGAGTTAATTCGGTATTTCTTTGTTGAATATTTTAATCTTTTTTTTTTTTAATTTGAAATTTGATGCTTATGTTAAAAAAAAGAAACCAAGTATTAGGAGTGATTGAGAGACAAATTGTGTACATTCTTGCTGCCTTTAAACCCCATTTTTGTTTGCAAAAATAAAATCACATAAATATATTAGTCACTAGTACAAATAAAAACTTCTATCATATTCAGGCTTTAACAATTGTCGACCTTAAAAAGCCTACTAACTTTTGATTTGTCAAAAAATAGGTTTTCATTTATTGTTCTCCATAGTAAAAAAGTAAAAATAGCAGTTAAAAATTTATGAATTAAATACTATAACTTTTCTTATTAAAAAATACGAGATGAACTTTTTAAAAACTGTCAATTAAACTTATATCAAAATAAACTAATAAATAATGGTCAAGTAATCATAAACAAAAAAACGGCTATTTGTTTAAAAAATATGTCATTATTTGAGTAATTATGTTGATGTCACATTGTTTGTAATTTTCTTAAGTTAGCAACTAATTTTCATGTAAGTAAAGTTTTTAAAAAAATGACAAGACCATAGTGTAAGATAAACAGTGGACCTACTATTCTGAAAAGAGACTAGGAAATATAATATTTTCTCTTACTTGCACGAAATTTGAAAATCATAAAAAACCTTTTTTTTTGTTTGCTAATTTATTTTCCGGAATATATATATATATATATATATATGTATATATATATATATATATATATATATATATATATATATATATATATATATATATATATATATATATATATATATATATATATATATATATATATATATGTATATATATATATATATATATAATGCAAAACCTTTTTTTGTATTAAAAAATCCCATTATTCAGGGATATTTTTTGAAAAAAAAACAAATTGCCTTTATGCCAATATTTATAGATACCATCATTAATGACAAAGTAATACTTTTAAAATTTTGAGGTTATGAAAATAACCTTTTAGTTTTTTTTTATTTGTCATCAAGTGTGAATCATCAATTTGTCATCAAGCGCTCAATGTTATTTTTTAATTTGAAAATGACTTTGACCTATTTTTTTTCTTTTTTGTAAAGGAATATTTTCAATATCCATAATATTACTGTCATTACATTGAACATTACCACTAATTGGACGAACTGAAAACTGTAACTTGATTGTATTATCATTAGAGCCAAAATCTCTGATCGAGTGATTATCTTTTCTGCGACCAATTGAACGATGCCTTCCAAAGTAGTTTTCAAGATCATCTTGGCAGAATCTATTAAAAATTTAACAACTTTTTAAAATGAATGCACTGTAATTTGCAAACCTTCATAAGTTTGTGAAGATATAAAAATTTTTGATTTTGAGGTCTTGTCAAAACATCCTTCTCGCTGATCTATGGATTACTTCCACAATTTAAAGTAAAGGGAAAAGTTATCTAACCAAGCAAATCTTGAATCGTCTACTGATTCATAAGGCTTTAAAAATGGCTTTCTCTTTGTTATATATTTAACACTATTTTTTACATTCAAGCAATCAAAAAACATATATATCATTAAACTAAATTCTGCTGTTTCAGCTGGTGGTCCAAACTGTTTTAAAACATTTCCTACTGTTTCACTCAATACTTGGGATGCAGGACGTACTCTCATAACAGAATATGGTTTTAAGTTTATGTGATCACTTGTTAATTTGGGAACAAGTTTTAAACGCTCTCTCTAAATCGAAATTATAAAAGTTAGAAGTATGAATCCTATTTCAATCCTATTAGAAAAAATGGCACATACCTGATGAATTAGCAATGAACTCTGAAGCTGTTTTATTTTCCGATCTAACATTTGAGAAAGCAGATGCTAACAAGGATATTAATAATTTACGATGTCGTCCTCTTGTTACTGGAAAGCTAAGTTTTTGTGCTACACCATTGTATGGAAAAAATATAACACTTAAAAAACTGCAAAAATTCACTGAAAATCTTATTAAATTAAATTTTGAACAGAGTAATTTTTATGAGACATCTATTTACGAGCTAGCCCCTAAAAATGAAAAATATGTTGAAAATGTAAGATTAGTTATAATGGATAAATTTCTATGTCGTCTGGACCATTTACTTAAAATTAATTTGACTGAGGAAAATTATAGCTTTGTCAAAAATCACTTACTAATCGATGTTGCGGAAATGATTCAAATTGAATCAGAAACTGTAGATCAATCAAAAAACAAAAAATGGTTTGAAGAAAGAAAAAAGGGACTTGCGGCATCAAATTTTGGTACAGTTGTAAACCGTAGAAAAAATATTCATCCAACTTCTTTGTTAAAAAGGCTTATAAGTAATCGTGATAGTAGTTTGCAATCTCAAGCCTGTCGTTGGGGTAATGAAAATGAAGATATCGCTTTTGAAAAGTATAAAGAAAAATATAACTGTAATATTATAAAATGTGGCCTCATTATAAACCCTAAATGGCAATGGCTAGGTTGTAGCCCTGATGGATTGTGTGTTAATAATGACAGCTACAAAATAACTGAAATAAAGTGCCCTTTTTCGAAAAGATATCTTTCTTTTCGCGAAGCTTGTAACGATTAAACCTTTTTTATGGAACTTGTAAATGATCAGCAAAAACTAAAAATCAAACACTGTTACTTTTACCAATGTCAAGGTAATATGGCTATAACAGAAACAAACGAAATAGATTTTATTCTTTACACAAATGAAGACTTTTTTGAGCAACCAATTAAATTTGAACATTAAAATTGGTTCAACAAGATTTTAGCATGTTTAAATACATTTTACTTTCAATTTATCACTAAAAAATATTTGAAAGTATATAAATATTTTAAAATAATTATGAGAAATCAATATTTTATTTTATTCTTCAATTGTTTTTTTGTTAGCAATAAGTGGTGGCAAAAAGTTGACTAGGTAGCAACTTATTACACAAATTTTAGTTGAGCAGCCATTGTGATAGGGAAAACTGTTTGCAATAGTCTATAATTTTTTATTGTTGTTATAGCTCGCTCTACGTGTACCCTAAGAAAAGCTATCCTTCTAGTTTCAACTTGTTCTGGGTGTGATAGTTGAGGTTTTCCATTAAGAAAGGGGGGTATGTTAAGGGAAACATTTTCAGGCAAAAGATCATCGATTTCAAAACTGCGATCAGCCATAATAGAGTCACCTGGTTCTACAAGCGACATTAAATTAAAATGTTTTGTAATTTTGTAATCAGTAGACCTACCAGTATACAAATCTGACACAAATGTAACAGCACCTGCTGGTGAAATTCCAACTAATCCTTTTGCAGTGTTGTGGTGTTTATATGATGATAACAGAGCTGATTGACTTCTATAAGACATAGACATTTCTATAAAAATCTCTGTACAGTCTATTATAACCTTGTTGAGGGGTAATTTTTTTTAAAACAACTAGGCATGGTATCATCTACAGTGTTTCTAGATGCCCATATAGGCAATGCTCTTAGTTGTGAATGGAAAAAATCAACCTACGTTATTAATAATCGGCAAGCATGATTAGTCAATAACTTAAAACGAACCCCTAGATCTTCAATTGAAAATGCATATTTCAAATAAATTAGGACCATAAAAAATTCTTCCTCAGGTGTTAAAGTTCTTTTTCGTCCTTTCTTTTTTACTTCTGATTCAGTTTCTTTATCCGTTGTTGCGTTTAAGCCATAATATATTAGAGAACTAGCTGTAGGCTGAAGATATTCAAACACAACTTTAAATAGTTCATAGCTTTCAAATCCTGTATAAAACTTGAAATGTGCAGTGTTGTGCTTAAATTGATCAATTCTAAAGCTAATATCTGAAATTACCTTTTGCAACGAACTTATTTCAATGCAATGGTCTTGATTTTTGATTTTGATTATTTTTTCAAGTTCAATTGTTTTAACTTGTAAGGAAGCCACTTCTTTTCTTAGTTTATCTTCTTCCCTGAACATAATTATTTTAGTTAATATTTTTGGAAGAACTTTTCTCAATCCTTTACTATTATATGTATCTCTCACTTTTTCCACATAAAGTTTAACAGTTTTAGGTAGGATAGTTGGTATTTTGTTCATGCAAGTTTTCTTTCCACCTTCAAAATGTTTAGAACATACCCTCTGAGTTAAAGTTGGTTTAAAGTCTCTTCTACTTATTTTGTAAAGCTTTATCTTTCTAAGGTTTTTGTCCTTGCTGGAAAATGCATAGAATGATAGATTTTTATGTTTTACTGAGTTACTAAAGCATTTAGGTACACAACATGTAAAACCCCCATTTCTATTTTTTTTCTTTTTAAGTTGAACAATATCGTTCGATGTATTTGTTGTTATACTTTCTTCGAAGTCTAATATAGTGCTACTGCTAGCAAGGTTTACTCCAACAACATTGCTTTTAACATTTGAGCTGAACGAATTAAAAGTTGTGGAATAAAATGAATTTAAGTCTTCAGGGACAATCTCAGTTCCTTTAATATTTGACATTTTACTAAACTTATTTTTGTTGTTTATTTCCCTATACATAAAAATACCATAATACATTGCAATAAGGGGAAACGCCAATTAAAAAAAACTAAAAAAATTGTAATCGAAAGAGACTTTTTTTACCATAAAAGTCTCTTTCAACTACACTATGAGGTTATATACATATATATATATATATATATATATATATATATATATATATATATATATATATATATATATATATATATATATATATATATATATATATATATATATATGTATATATATATATATATATATATATATATATCTATATATATATATATATATATATATATATATATATATATATATATATATATATATATATATATATATATATATATATATGTATATATATATATATATATATATATATATATATATATATATATATATATATATATATATATATATATATCTATATATATATATATATATATATATATATATATATATATCTATATATAGATCTATATATATATATATATATATATATATATATATATATATATATATATTATATATATATATATATATATATATATATATATATATATATATATATATATAAACGTGTATATATACATATGATTATTATTTAAGCTCACTTATTTTTATAGATTTTTAGGAGAATTTTATTTTCGTGCCTGCATATGCTGCAGAAAATAATTCCAATTTTTTGTTTAATTAACATTCTTGGTTTGCATGCGTAATAATTTCAGATTTTTCTTGTTGGCATAGTATGCATTTTTTAGAATTATTGTTATATGCAGGTGTTGTTTTAAGGATGGACCAATTCAGTATAAAGTCATCAATATTTTTATCTTTTAATTCCCTTATATATTTTGATAGCATGGTGTCTTTTGAATACATTTTTTTTAGAGGATTGCTTCCCAGCGGGCAAATAACGTTGAAATAACGTTGAAATATCGTTGAAATCTAACGATGAATTTACGTTGATTTAACGTTTAGAATGAAATTTTTTTCAACGCTGATTTATCAACGTTAAATCAACGTTAGGTTTAAACGTTATATCAACGTTGATTCGACGCGAAAAAACGTTATAATAACATTGAACTTACGTTGATACAACATTTAAAATGATAGTTTTTTTAACGTTGATTTATCATCGTTAAATCAACGTTAGATTTAAACATTATATCAACGTTGATTCGACGCGAAAAAACTTTACAAGAACGTCGAATTTACGTTGATACAACGTAACTCGACGCGAAAAAACGTTACAAGAACGTTGAGTTTACGTTGAAACAACGTTTGAAATTATAGTTTTTTAAAAGTTGATTTATCAAAATTAAAACGACTGTAAAACACTTTTTCACCATCAAAACGTGCTATGTATGTCAATATGTATATGTGTATGTACACGTACTATGTGCGTCAAAATGTGATCACCATCAAAACGTACTATGCATGTACTGGTTTAACGTCCATGTTTATACACTAATTGATCTTGGACAGGGTTCAAATAATGTCATTTTTTATGTTAAATAGCATGCATTTGCTAAAGCAAATTTTTACAACTGCATGCACTTTAAGGCGTTAACCAGTTTTGCAGACCGAGAATGGGTATTTTGAACATTATACTTCCATCAAAAATTAATTAGAGGATTTTAAAAGTGGTTTAAAAAAAAAGAGGACTTGAGAAGATTTTAGAGGAGCTGCGGACACCCTGAATATAAATGAGGCAAGAGTCCAATACTGTTTTTGATTACCTCAGCATAATTTTGTTTATTCTATCTTTAGAAGACGTTCCACCAATTAACTGTAACTGATTTATCTGTAAAAAACATAAAGTAAATCTAATATTATGCTTGAGGAGATATATTATATTGTGGAGAAGCATCCAAACCACACACAAGTGGAAAATTTGCAACCAAGTTTCCACTTGTGTGCAAATCTTGCATCCACTTGTCAACATTTTCATTATCACAATTTTTTTTTTGTAGTTGTGAATTTAAAATTTTCAGAATACTGTTTGCGTTCTTTTGGAATTGAAATAGTTATACAAATAGCTATATATTTTGTATCAACAAAATAACTCTTATTACCACATTATTTAAAAAATAATAATTGTATTATATAGATGTAATACCTGAAGAGAATTTAGCTTTTATTTGTATAAACTTAAGCCAATTCTTCGCTGCATTTTAATGCAGCCAATGCTTTGGTACCTGGAAGCCGTCAAACAGTTTTATCACTAATCCAATTAGATGGAATTACTTCTTCTTGTAAATCTTCATTCCAAACAGCTCCTTTCCACATATTCGATTTTGAAAAAATTACATGAACTAATATAAAATGAAGAAAACATAATATAAGTGTACTAACAGGCCTAACTAAACTAGCTAAATTTGAACATTTTATAACCATGATACTTACAAAACAATATTATTAGTAGACATTATTAGCAAATATAAAATTTTCTTTGTTTTATAAATTTATTTGAAAATGAAGGTGAAAGCTGGGAAGAAAGCGAAATGAAGGTAAAAAAAATTTTTGAAGATATATTATCAGTTAAAAATGTCCAAATTGAACGGGCCCATAGAACTGGAAACAAAAAATTAAAAATGCCGAGGACAACAGTGATAAAACTTTTAGATTTTAGAGATAAAGTTGCGATCTTGAGCAAGTCGAGTAAGCTAAAAGGGAAAAACATTTATATAAACGAAGACTTCTGTTTTGAAACAACACAAATCAGAAAAAATTTGAGGGAGAAAATGAAAATTGAACGAGCCGCTGGTAAGTTTGCCTTCATATCTTATGATAAATTGATAAATCGCGATTGGGTTGCAAAGAAAAGCAAAAATTTATCTTCTTAATATTTGGCATTAATTAACGCAATTTTATTTTTATTATTACTATGCATATTTAATTAAACTGTTTTAAAAATGGAGGAAAATGTCATATTTAAATCTTCTAATGAAAATGACATCATCGGTGATAATGACACCGACTCTAATTATTTTAATCACAAAATGCTAAAAAGTCAATACTACTCAGTTTCTGAATTTTCGCAATATCTAGGACAAACTAAAATCACTTTTTCAATTTTAAATATCAATATTCGAAGTTTAAATAAAAACTTTGAAAATTTAAAAATTTTATTGGATGAAATTAAACACGATTTTAAAATTATATGTTTGACGGAAACTTGGTGTAAATGCGGTGAAACAAATTATGAATTTAAACTAGTTAATTACACATCAATTCACCAACCGCGTGAAGTTAATGCGGGTGGGGGCGTTAGTATTTTTATCCATAATTCAGTTAATTATATTTTACGTAACGATCTCTGCGTCAATGAAACAGATTATGAATCATTGTGCGTCGAATTAGTAAATAATAAAGAAAAAAACATAATTATAAATACTACATATAGACCACCATCTGGAAACTTAAAGAAATTTAAAACTCATCTTAAAACATTTCTAAACAAAATCACAAATTCGAGAAAACATATTTATTTGGTGGGTGATTTTAACATTAACCTGATCAACTATGCTTCAAATAATAATACTAAGAATTTTATAAATACTCTTCTACAATATAACTTTATCCCAACAATAAACAAATCAACAAGAATAACAAGTAGGTCTTCTACTCTACTTGATAACATCATAACTAACAACTTTCATAATAACCCTCTTTACACAGGTATAATCCAGACCGATTTATCGGATCATTTTCCTACATTCTTAGCTACAAATAAAATTTTAATTAACAATATTTCCACAAAATCCATAATAGTTCGGCGACAGATCAATGAAAACTCCTTAAAACAATTTAAAAATTGTTTAAAAAATTGTGTTGATTGGAATCTAGTACTGCAATCAAATGAGGCTAACAATGCATATGACTTGTTTCTTAATCAATTTTGCAAACAATATGAAATAGCGTTTCAAGAAATAAAAAAAGTCATAAATACCAAGTTACTTCAAGCTCCCTGGATGTCTAAAGGCTTACTAAAATCTTCAAAAAAGAAAGAAAAATTATATATAAAATATCTTAAAAAAAAAACTTATAAAAATGAAATAACTTACAAAAATTATAAAAATATATTTGAAAAAACCAAAAAATACTCAAAAAAACTATTTTATGATCAATTATTAAAGAAAACCAACGGAAACACTAAAAAAATATGGAATTTAATTAAGGATTTAATTGGAAAAAATAATTATAACAAAAGCACTCTGCCAAAAAATCTTTTAATTAATGGAGAATTAGTTTATGAAAAATCAATTATAGCTGAAGAACTAAAAAAGTACTTTGTTAATATTGGCCCGAATTTGGCTGCTAAAATTTCTACTAATTCTATTCCATTTGATTCATACTTAAAAACTTATGATAAACTTATGGATGAAACTGATTTAAAACTGAGTGAGTTGAGAACTGCATTTAGCAGTCTCAAAAGTAAAAAAAGTGAAGGTTTTGATAAAATTAGTGTTGATGTTGTCAAATCAGTATTTGAAGTCATTGAACCTTCTTTATTTCACATTTTCAATCTCTCATTAAAGTCAGGTATTGTTCCTAATAAATTAAAAATTGCCCGTATAACACCAATTTTTAAATCTGGAGATAAGTCAAATATTTTAAATTACAGGCCTATATCAATCTTACCTTGTTTTTCAAAATTGCTAGAGAGAATAATGCATAACAGACTTTATAATCATCTAACTGAGAACGACATGTTGTATTGTAAACAATTTGGTTTTAAAAAAAAAATTACACTGAACACGCAGTAGTTGAACTTTCCAATCAAATATCTAATGCCTTAGATAATGGCTGTTTTACATTAGGAGTTTTTATTGATCTGTCAAAAGCTTTTGATACCGTAAATCACTTTATACTAATAAAAAAACTCGAAAACTACGGTGTAAAAAATAAAAACTTACTTTGGTTCAAAGATTATCTGACTTATATTAAAAGGGAATCTTACATAAACTTTTTAGGAGTAAAATTGGATGAAAATTTAAAATGGTGTTCACATATAAATAGCATTGAAAAAATAATCTCAAAAAATATTGCAATGATGTTTAGGGCTAAACCCTTTCTAAATATATCATCTCTGAAAAAATTATATTTCGCCTTTATTCACAGTTATTTGTCTTATTGTAATGTTGTGTGGGCTAGTACTAGCCATACAAAATTAAAGAAACTCTACAATAAACAAAAACATGCATGTAGAATAGTATTTGGAGCCGACAGAAATGTTCCTTGCGAACCACTTCTAAGTGTGCTCGGTGCTTTAAATGTATATAAACTCAATTTACACCAAGTTTTATTGTTTATGTTTAAAACAAAAAAGGAATTGTCTCCTAAAATATTTCAATCTTATTTTAATAAAATTAACCATAGGTACTCAACAAAGTTTTCAGAAAACAATTTTGTTGTTCCAAAACATAAATTAAAATTTACTTCCTATTCAATTAAATACCGCGGACCTTATCTGTGGAAGAAATTTCTCAGATATTGTTAACAAAAAGCAGACTACATTAGAGCAATTTAAGGATGAATCAAAACGATTATTATTGTTCATGGATCTCAATAAATCCGACTTTAAATGTTTATTTTAAAGTAAACTCAATAAAAAAAAATAAAAAAAAACAGATACAATTATATCAATTATATATGATAATATGAATAAGAAAAGAAAGAAAAAGGAAAAAAAGAAAAAAAAAAAAAAAAAAAAAGAATAAGAAATCCAAGTGATGATGTCACAAGTGATGATGTCATAAGTGATGATGTTACATATTCATTTAGTGTTAATTATGAGATTTTATTTTTTCAATTTCTTTTATATTCAGGAAATTTTTTTTTTTTTTTTTTCTTTTTTTTTTATATTAACTTATTTCTTAAACATTTTAGCAACTGTTAAGCATCTTAACGCTTCTTAATTAATTCTTATTTTTTATTTTTTTTTATTATATTAGTATTTTCTATTTCATTTCTAATTGTTTCTTTTATATATATATTTGTATGTTACGGTTATGTAGAATTTTTAATGGGGCTCGGCGATAAGGCGAAATGTGCCTTCTTCTTGCTCCAGCCATCAATTTATATAAATGTATATGCAATGTAAACATTTTTTAACGGCGAAATAAATTACACTAAAAAAAAAAAAAAAAAAAAAAAAAAATTATTATATTTTAAATTCATTTTATTAATTTATTTAATACATTAATATTCAGCAGAGTTCTGAATATATTATGTTCAAATAACTTAAGGATCAATAACAAAGAAAAATAAAAAAAGAATCTTATGTTGCTAAAACATAAACATCTACATTATGAAAAATTAATTATGGAATATTGAACAAAAATAGAAATACAAAAATACAAAATTACTTATTATTAATATGAAATATAATAGTATAACATAAGGTATATTATAAAATATGACACAATAATATCTAATTTTAATTGAAATATTAAAGCAACAAATATTAAAAAAGAAAATAATAATATAATTATTTAATAAATAATAAATTATTATTCAAACAATTTAAGAAACCAAAAAATAACTTGTAACTTATTTTTAACTCATCTTCATCTAATAAACATTAACTTATTTTTTACTCATCTTCATCTAATAAACAATAATATTAATACCAATTTTAAACATTATTAGAATTTTTATTATTAAAAAATAAAAATATTACATCAGTTACTTTTTGGGCTTTTCTTATTTTACTTAAAACGTCAACTCAATCGTAGGCTTTTTTCATAATTGAGTTTTAATTTGTTATGTTGAATTAACACCGAAAAAAAAAATATTAGCAGACAAAAAGAAAATATTTATTTATTGAAATATATGTTAATAGTTCAATAAAGAAATTTTAGATTGCTTTTTATAAATATAAACTTATATCAATCAATCTAAATTTTTTTCTTTTCCGCTACCTTTTTAAAATGGAGCGCATTGTAAAAAGTTAGACAAAATGCCATCAATTAAAGTTTCAATCGCTCCATCAGATTTTATAGAAGAAGCTGTTAATAAAAAAGAATTAAAAAAAAAAAAAAACACAAGAAGAATTTTTTGAGTATATAATAAATGAGAATAAAAAAGTTTTACATATCTTATAAAGATACACCTTTCACTACACCATATAAATTAGTGCCCTTAAAGCATATTTCCACCTTTCCCCTTCATGTTCACGGAGATCACAAAATTGTCAGAAATATTCTAAATTTTAATAGATAAAAGAACTAATATTAATTATACGATAACTAAAATTAATTTTTTTTTTCCTAATTTAAATTGAACTCATTATCAAACAATTTTTTTGCTAAATAATTTAATCCTTAAAATTCTTAAATAATTAAAAATTTTGATTACCTAAGTCTTTACCTATCCTTCATTACCTAGTCTTTTGATTATTTTGATTACCTAATTCTGTCTTTTAAATATATTCCATTAATTGCAATTGATTCACCTAAAAAAAAAAAACACGTAGAGCTAATATTATTATTTGAAATTTTAATTATCATTATACAAATACTTATCATATTTTTAAGTGACTGATAAAAACGGATTTAATTAAAATTATTTCATTTGTATTAAAAAATTAATAATTTATAACAATCTAAACAAAAAAAATTAATAACAATATAAATAGTTGTTGCGATTTGTAATTTCTTTATCTGAAATTTAGCTTCTGTAAGCTTTAGACATTTTTTAAGAAATTATTGATGAATTTGGAGCTACGGGTACTAATGATTTTATATTGTTGTAATGTTTGTATTCATTTTCTGTTAGTTTCTGTAATTCAATATTTTTTAGGTGTTTCCATAATAAACTCCGTTATATCTGAAATTTAATTTCTAAAACTTGTTTTGCATTACCTGCCTTATAACATATTTACTTAGAACAAAAATCATGTGCTTTAAAAGCGAGCTAGAAGCTTTTAACCTTGAAGAAAATATTGCATTTGCTAATCTTAAAAATATATTAAACCTGTCAGCATGATCAGCTGTCAGTAGTCCAAGTATTAGCATCATTAAAAATTCATCTTTGCTGCATTACATTTGTTTTGGTTCAAGTAGCTAAGGATTTTTTTAAATTCGAAAAAACAGAAGTAGATGTTTTTTTAATATCACTTTATCTTCTTTTGATTAATGGTGATACTGTACTAAATGATAAAACACATTGACAGATGTAAGGACAGTTTAAAAGTTGCAAGATCTATCATTTTTAAAATAAATGTTTGTATACAAAAAAATTGCAATAACACGATTTGTTTGGATTGTGTTTATATACAAATTTTTCAGGTTTCATAGTAATAACTGATGTGGTTGAAGGTAATTTTTCATATAAATCTTTTATTTTTTTTATTTCGTTTTTACTTACATTTCTGCACGCGAATAAATTTTATATCGGAACTGTGAAAAAGTGTATTGTATTATTTAAGGTCTTTTTAAGGTCCAGTGCTTATTGAGAACATGTTTCAAAAACCTTTTTACATATTGCTAATACGAAGCAATGTAAATAATTTCAAAGATCTGTAATTTTGTATTTGTTCTAATTGAAATTATTAGGAATAATAAAAAAAAGAAATCTAATTTTAATATAAATACTATATTCTCATAATAGAGTATTTACATAGAAAAACGCATTAATTATGCTTCATAATTCAAACATGTAGCAATTAAAATGCAACGAACCTGTTGCATTTTAATTGCTGTTGCAATTAAAATGCAACAGAATAATGAGTCAATAATTTTAAAATTCTTTAAAGTTTTTCTTTTTAAAGTTTTCTTTTTATTGTAATACAAAGACTATCAAATTTTTCTTCCTAAATGGTTTCCAAGTGGTGAAAATTACAAGCGAACATCAACTAATATGTTAGAAAAATCATCGAACAAAATTATGCATCATGTGATTGCGTGCTTTTTGTGGGTAAGATATTTGCAAAATGCATCCCATTATCAAAATGGTAAATATTTTGCTGAAGATTGAGAAAGCAATTTTTATTAAGGAGTTTTTTTTGTTTTTATGATTCAAGACTTCAAAAATTTATTCTTATGTTGTGAAGTCCTCGTCTGATGTTTGCATAACAAGGTTATGTTTGAAAATAGAAATCGATGAGTGTATTAACCAATCTGAATTTAAAATAAGAGCTGTTGTTACCAATAGCCATTCTCACAATGTTATTGAATTTTCATTGCTTTATAAAGCATTTACTGGTGATGCAAGATTATTCAATTATATTCCAGTTTATAAAGAAGTATTTAAAACGGTCGTTGCATTTAGGAAACAACGTTTAACAAAAACTCTAAAAAATAGCTTGCTGAATGTGAAAAAGTATGTTTTTCATTCTATTTCATTTGATTTTTCTAGAGACCAAGTTGAAGTTATAGCTGGTTATATTGCAGTAAATATGTTTATGAAAAAGATTGTTCATTGTAAAACAGGAATAAAAAAAAAGTTTGAAAAATTATCAGGTAACTTATTTCGGAAACAACATACAAGTTGTCAACCTTACTTTGGCAAAAATTATTAAAACAAATGCAGCTGCAATATTAGGCTTTTTTCATAAAAGAAATTATACAACATATTTTTATTTAAGTTTCTTTTATAAATTGCTGCTTTATAATTTATTTAACAGACTTAATTCAAAGCATTAACTCAATACATCTAATCAACTCAGCAATGCTGTTGTGAAAGATGATAACAAACCCAGACTTTATAGATAAACTACAAGTTATATTAAAATTTCCTAAAAATGTAAATATTTAACATCATGTTTAAAAATTAAGGTTAATCAAATTTGTTAAGATTAATCAAACTTGTTACTATGGCAATGTTTCAACGCAATAAGATACCATATTTTAAAATAATTTATATTATAAATAAATAATATATAAAACTGCAATTTGTTCAACATATCAACAAAGGACAAAACGTAGCAAAAGTGAAAGCAAAGTTAATAAAAGTACTTAGCTTTGGATAAAAAATGGAATTTAAAAAGAAAAAAAAAATTAATTTTCTTTATGCATATTTCAAAATTTGGTTTTTTATAATGGTTATTTTAACTTGTGAAACATTTGGTAAATATTTTTAGTTCACTTTTAACGTATAAAAATTATAAAGAATGTAGTTCATTAAGATAAGTCATAAAATAATTGTACCTTCATACTTGTTCAGAACTATTCTTTTTAATACATTTCGGGATCTCTGACTTGAATCAGTCTTCTGATTTATATTATTCTACAAAGTTTTTGCAACGTTTTCAGAGTACATACATTAGGTTTTTTTTATTCAAATATGCAAATAAAGTAAGTTTACGTAATTTTTGTAAAATTACATCATTTTTTGTTAATTAACGTAATTTTTGTAAATTTACATTTTTGTAAATTTACGTAATTTTTTGGTCTATAATGTTCAAGTAGAATTATCTTTTGATTATACAAATGACATAAGCTTTAAAAACCGCACACACACACACAAAAAAATTGCTTTGATTTTTTATTTAGGTTTCCCACTTTTTGATTTACATTTGCAATTACAATTTAGTAAATTAGTTAAAAAGAGCTAGTATAGTGATAAACAGATACTGGTTATATGTAGAGAAAAATGTTGTTCATTTACTTTTTGTTGGTTATACATAGACCCAGGCACCGCGTAACTGTTAATACAAAAGGAATTATATAGCAGTTACTGCAAAGGTAATTTCTATAAAAGTAAATATTAATAAAAAGAACAAATTTAATAGGTAATAACAAAAACACTTTTGTATTAACTCATATTTTAAAGAATTATTTGAGTTGAAACTTGATTCTTTTGTTTATAAAATTTTTTTTTCTGTTGTTAGGGTATTTTCTCATCAAAACTACCAGGCCAGACAATTCTTTTTTTTTATGAATATCTTTATATTATTACCATAGTTATTAATTTATCAAAGAGGATGACCCTTGAAGTTTAAATTTTTAAATCTTAGCAGCTTTTATTATATGATTGTCGTAATTTTGGCTGATATTAATGTTACGGTCAATTTTTGCAATTTTGAAACGTATTTTTTATTAAAAACATAAATCTATAAAAAAGAGAAAGCTAAAAACAAGTTTTTAAGTTAATTTTATCTGCCTGCGTGTGTACTTTATGGAAGACCCTAGCATTACTTTATTAGTTATTTAATATAGACAAACTTTTTGATCTGGTTTCAGCAGTTAAAATTTGGATTTGGGAAAATCCAAATTTTAACTGCTGAAACATTAAAAAAACCCGTACAGATGCATGTTTTTATGCATTGGACATACTTCCCTGTCTTTTATTTCTATTTTCTTAAAAACTCTAATGATGTATTAGACTGTATTTTTTAGACGTTTTTAGACATTTACACAAGACGGTTAGTTAAAATAAATCTTGAAAAAACGCTGAGCAAGTTCATTTATAATAAATTGACCAATAAATATTAATGGTAAACTTTTTAAAATATTAATGAAAGAAAAAAACAAGTTTAAACAAATGAATTACTGAAAATAGCATATGTTCTGGGTTTTTGACTGGTTAATGTCAGAGATCCGAAATTTTATAATTTGTAGATTTTCGGATCTCTGACGTGAACCAGTCTTTAGGCTACATAATTCTATAAAGTTGCACAACGTTTTCAGAGTTTATACATCAAACATTTAAAAAAATTATTTTAAAATTATTCCCTTAATAATCAAGCCTACACGAGTAACTTTTCATTGCGAATCTCTAATTGAAAATGTTTTTACTGACATTTTTACTACATGCTACTTTATTAGTTATTTAATATAGACAAACTTTTTGATTTGGTTTCAGCAGTTAAAATTTGGATTTGTTAAAATCCAAATTTTAACTGCTGAAACATTAAGAAACCCGTAAAGATGCATATTTTTATGCATTGGTCATACTTCCTTGTCTTTTATTTCTATTTTCTTAAAACTCTAATGATGAATTAGACTGTATTTTTTAGACGGTTTTAGACATTTACACTAGACGATTAGTTAAAATAAATCTTGAAAAACGCTGAGCAAGTTCATTTATGATAAATTGACTAATAAATATTAATGGTAAACTTTTTAAAATATTAATGAAAGAAAAAAACAAGTTTAAACAAATGAATTACTCAAAATAGTATATGTTCTGCGTTTTTGACTGATTGATGTCAGAGATCGGAAATTTTATAATTTGTAGATTTTCGGATCTCTGACGTGAACCAGTCTTTAGGCTACATAATTCTATAAAGTTGCACAACGTTTTCAGAGTTTATACATCAAACATTTAAAAAAATTATTTTAAAATTATTCCCTTAATAATCAAGCCTACTCGAGTAACTTTTTATTGCGAATCTCTAATTGAAAATGTTTTTACTTACATTTTTACTACATGCTTTCAAAGCGGAATTTTTTTTTTTTTTTTTTGAATTTATATTTTGCCGTTTCAAAGCGGAGTTTTTTTTTTTTTTTTGAATTTATATTTTGCCGTTTAAATATTGCTATAATACCAAAATGTATAAGGATTTACATCACCGAGGCAAAAAGAAGACAATGATACAATGATACGGGGTTTAGTAATACAACAGTAGATATATCACTAAACCTCGTAGTTTAAATCGTTTTTCTACATTACAAGCAGTTATGTTATAAGATAATTTTTTTATGATACTGTTAAAAATTAAGTAAAATATATTTGTTTTTATTTAATTAACCAAAGCCAAAATTCAAAAAAAAAAAAAAAATAAAATAAAATAAAAAATTACATAAAAAAAAAAAAAAAATGACAACTTATTAAAAGACAAAATAAAGCTCAAGATGAACAAAAACTAAAATTGAGTATAACAGTTGATTTTAAATAAAAAGTTATAAAAAGAACTCTTTTTAAAATTTAATCAATTGTTAAAATTATTCAATAATTATTAATAAGATCAAGAGATATTTTTACACTGTTTAAAATAATAATAACAAGAACAGAAAAAAGCAAACTAGAAGGATTGTTCCCGTAAAATGAAAAAAAAAAAAAAACGAAATAAATTAAAAAATTAATAAAATTAAAAAAAACAAAAAATAATATAAAATCAGAAAAAAAAAAATTTAAAAGAAAAAAAAACATGTTTATATAAAAAACAAACATTAACATAAAAAAAAAAAAAAAAATGATTAAGTAAATAAATAAAAGAGAATAAGATTATCTAAGATATTTAAAAACAGCTTAATTCATTGTCAATAGTAAAATGTATGTTTAAGTTTTATTTTGAATGTATGAAAAGCAGTAGTAGTTTTGATGTCGCTATTAAGTTTAGAATTCCATAATTTGGGTCCTCTATTTGCGATAGAGAGTTTGTTGGCCGTATTATAGGTTTTCGGTTGAATATAGTTCTGTTTTAAAATCTAGTAGAGTAAAATTAAATAAGCCAGTTGTGGGCGTTTAACTATTTACGTTTTAAACAATTTGTATAGCATTTTTTTGTCTACTAACTAGTTTTTTTATTTTGGTTGCGTTGGTGTTGCACTAAGCAATATTACCATAATTAAGGTAGGTGTGAATAAAATAAAAATAAATGTTTTTTAAACAGTTTTGGTTTAAAAACTATTTAGCTTTATTTAATCGTCCGATATTATTTGATATTTTGTTTTCTATTATTCTTATGTGTTCACGTAATGAAACATTTTCTATTATTCTTATGTGTTCACGTAATGAAACGTCGAGATATACTCCTAAAAACGCACACAAGTGCTCTCTTTTTAGATTAGAATTATCAATACATAGATAGGAAAGTTTAAAAATATATATATTTTTTTGGGGAATCTATGAAAAAAAGAGTATTTGGTTTTACTTATATTTAAGGATAGTTTATTCGACTTGAGTCATTCACTTAAATTGTGAGTTCCGTATTGTCTGTTACAAATAAAAGTCGATGTTACTATTAGAGTAAAACAAGGTTGTCGGCTTTCAAAAAAAATACATCAACTGAAAACGCAATCCTTCACTTGGTTGAAGAAATAAAAAACTCCTTTACAAACAGAGAAGTTACTTTGGAAATTTTTGTAGATCTCTCGAAGGCTTTTGATACAGTCGACCACAAAGTATTATTACCAAAGCTTAATATGTACGGTATAAGGGGTAGATCCAACAAGTGGATAGTGAGCTGTTTAGATAAACGTGTGCAGTATGTATATTACAGAGACAATAAACTCTCTAATCCGTTTATAATAGAGTGTGGTGTACCTCAAGGTTCAATACTTGGGCCCTTGCTTTCTTAATCCATGTAAACGATTTCTGCATGGCTTCAAAAAGATTTTCAACTATGATGTTTGCTGACGACAGCAACTTTTTTATCTCTGGAAAATATAATAGCGAGCCGTACGTAGAAATGAACAATCAATTAGAAAAGATTTCAGAGTGGTTTAGGGCAAACAAACTCTCTATTAACTCAAGTAAAACAAAGTTTTCTTTATTTCATCCTTCTTTAAAAAAAAAAGAAGTTCAATCTTTTTTTCCGAAATTGTTTATTGAAAATAGAGAAATAGGTAGAGATACTGTTACGAAATTTTTGAGTGTTTTTATTGACGAAAATCTAAATTGGAATAAACTTATCGCTTATATAGGTAGTAAAATATCCAAAAGCATAGGAATATTATACCAGTCACGTTATTTATTAAAAAAACCACTACTTAAACAAATCTATTATAGTTTTGTTCAAAGTTACCTAAACTACGGAAATATAGCATGGGGTAGTACCTATAAAACGAAACTAGAACCACTTTATCGTTAACAGAAGCATGCTATACGTGTGATTAATTTTAAAAATAAAACAGAACACTAAAAGCCTCTTTTTAAACAAATGTCTTTATTAACATTGTTTGAAGTAAATGTATATAATGTTCGAAGTCAAAATGCAAAAAAGTCCTATAATTTTCTATAGTCTTTATAAACAAAAACCAGAGTACAAATATTCATTGCGTACAAATAGTACCCTGTTAGAGCCTTCATGCAAAAATAAGCTTGAACAATTCAAAATGACTTATCGTGCACCCCATATCTGGAATAAGTTTTTACTAATTAATTTAATTAATATTGATTT